CCAGCTCCGCAAAAGGACCATCTTTGGGATCCGATCTGACGGCCCCTGTATCGAAAAGGCTGCCTGTCTTGCTGGCGAAACTGCCCCTGCTCAGAAGACCACTGCTGGGACGACCCTTCCTGAGGATTGAACCAAACAGGCTGCCTTCGGGAGTACGGAGTGGCTCGCCTGTCCGCCCTCCGAGCTGCAGAAGGTAAGACCTTGTGCCTATCTTTGTCCTTTACAAAAAGGGATTCAAAGGCCTCCCCAAATAATTTGGTCCCCGTATAGGGAGCTGCAGCCAATCGCCACCTGGCCCTTAGGTCTGCGGGCCAAGATTTGAGCCACAATAACCTCCTAGAGGTGATTGATGAAACTAGGGACCTGGAGCTGTATTTCGTGGCATTGAGAGTCGCGTCAGCAGAGAATTGTGTGGCGGTAAGGATCTTATTAAGGTCCTGGTGGAGCCGGGCCTAGGAGGGTGGCAATCTAGATTGGAGCTGTTGCAGCCATAAGATGTTAGAGTGATTGAAGAAAGACGCCACGGTGGCGGCATTAATTGCCCAGGCAGCCGCTTGGTGTGTCTTTCTGAAGGATAATTCGAATTTCCTATCCTCAGGTCTTAGGTTCTCAGAAGGATCCCCTGCCATTTAGGGTGAAGAAGACAACAAGGCAGCAACAGGACTGTCCACAGAAGGAACCTACAGAAGGTGACTAAAGGTCAGTGCCATATTATAGTGTTTCCTGTCTGAGCCACTAGGAGTTGGAAGGGAGGCGGGATTGGTCCACTGGTTCTGGACAACATCCAGAAAGTTTGGGAGCCGGAACAAATAACTGTTATGATACCGGCTCTGAAAATATCCCATGTCCCTGCCAAGGGGCTGCGCTATGGGCCCGTCCTCTTGTAGACCAGCTGTAGCTGTTGCCTTGTGTAACAAGGACTTGAAAAGGCCAGAAGGGAAGAGCCCTGTGAAAGCTGGGGTATCCAGGAAGACCTCTTCCTCATCATCAGTGAGATCAGGGTCTCTCTGAGTCTCCTCCTCCAGCATCAGATACACACTGCCCCGAGTGAGAGGGTTCAGTGAGACTGGCCAGAGGCGATGTATGAGCCTGCCGGCTAAGGTATTCTGAGACCAGGGAGGCAGAGCGGTGGCTATGAATGCCGGCGACAATGCCTTTGGAAATGGCCCTGGAAACCAATAGTTGGATGCTATCTGGTAAGTCATCCAGGTGAAGTTCAGAAGGCTCTGGAATCGGGGCAACCTTGGGGTTTTCCAGCTGGGAAGAACATGCAAAGGGATGGTGCGTCTTAAGAGCAATCCAGTTAGTAGCCTGCTCCTGCGGAGTTGTTATAGATGAGCCCGGGGAAAGGCCACCTGCGCCCTCCAGGAGCGATGCCTGGGGCGAGGGGTGGTTCAACTCGTGGTTGATAGGAAACAGACTGATCAGTGGACTGTGACAGGGTTTCCAATTGAGCTTGCCTCTTTTCTGCTAGAGAAAACTGCTTTTCTAAGGCCCTCTGTCTCCGCTCCAGATCTTTCAGTTCTGCACTGGAAAGCTGAGAGGCTTTGCGGCCATGTTTAGACTTGCATAAGGCATTTTTGCAGATGGATGCCTCCAGAGTGGCTTGAGGCCTAGGAACCTCCGCCATTTTGAATGCTCAAGCGGCTGGAGTGGCCATGGAGACAAAAAAGTGTGGCGGTCGCTTTGGAGGACCAAACTGACCAGCTCACGCAAGACAGATACTAAATCTGTCACAGGGTGGTTTACCCAGGGTGAACCTGGGTGGTGCCAGCTCCTTAAGCCCCCCGCTTTTATGCTGGGCATGCTCAGATAGTGGCAATACTTGCAAAGGTGCAGCCAGAGGCTGATTGGAGCTCCAATGGAGTAGGCTGCCCTGTGGAAGCAGAATCCAAGATGGCCACCACAGAGACTATGGAGGCTATGGTGATGGCTCCGCGACGAATCCATTGAAGGCAGGAGGTCGCACCACGCAGGAGGCTGCAGAGAGTCTTGGCGACCGATGCCCTTCAGTGCAGGGCCCCTGGGAGCCGCAGTGGCGGCGGCAGTATCTGACAAACCGCTTCTCAGCTGAGACCCTGGACCACGTGGCGTGGAGCAGTGGCGGCGGTGAGAGCTAAAGGGGAAGCGGCGTCATGAGCCGCTTCCCAGATGATCATCTTCGCTGCGTAGCTCAGGAGAGCAGCGGCGACAATGTTGGGGCGGGAGATAATGGCCGCCCAGGTTCAAAGGCACGCCGTGAGTTTCCAGAAGCGGCAGCAGGCCAGCAAGCCACCTCCCAGCTGTAAAGCCTCGCCACGAGACTAAGATCAATGGTGGCGGCAGCACCTGTAAAGGACCACTTCTCAGCTGACCACTTTGCTGCTTGGCTCTGTAGACCAGCAGCTGCATTGGTGACCTACAGCTTTGCCGGAGGAGAGGGGAGGTGGAGGGGTGCATCTGTTATTAAAAGTTTATGGCCTGGGTTCTGACAAAGGCCAGAACGCCGATGCCCCCCCCCCCCAAGGGCAGCAGCCGAGTTACCAGCCAAGGCTGATCTGGCCAGCATGCAAGCCTGTCAAATATTTGGAGGGGGGGGGAATTGATGCTGTAAATGATCCAGGAATGGATTGATTGACAAGCAACTGCCAAAGATGTCTGTCAGACGACTGAGTCAAAAACTGGGGCCTGACGGAGAGAAGTGGAGGCGTGGCCAAAAGATTATGACTCAGTCTCCAGGCAGATCAGACTGTATCAATCCATTCCTGGACCATTCTGCAGCCTATTAGGAGAAAAAGTAAGACCGCCTCAAAAATAAGTGCTTATTTTGCATTTGCCAAAAAGCCTTCCGTGAGCCTCCCAAGAAGAGGGAAGAAGCAAAGCAGCTGGCAGCTTCAGGGAAACTGCCCAACAAGCAGAAGCGCTGCACCCAGAAACAGAAGGGCAAAAGCAGTACTTCTGCTGCCCCAAGGGGCCAGCGGGCTGCAGCTGCAGCCTGACAGTTGCCTCCCCACGCCAGCACCACTACTCGTGCTGGCCATGCCCATACCCCTGGCCTTATTTTCGGGGTGGGGGTAATATTAGGCCCACTCCCCGAAAATTAGGGGTGGGCTTATTATTGGGGTGGGTTGTTTTTTCGGAGAAACAGGATAGACTGATTTGGAAGGCACCCAAAATAATAGTAGTTATTATTATTGAACTGTTGTGATCCGCCAGCAGCCTGCAGAGCTGGCAGCAGAGTCAGATAATGAGGAGGCTGGGGAGGAACATGGGCCAGTCCTGGAGTCTGGGGAAGGCTCGGACGAGGGCTCTGCATTGGAGGCAGAGATGGGGCCAGGGCCATCTGGGAGTTATGTGCAGACTCCGGAGCCCCCAGAGTCGGTCATCAGAGAGGCAGAGGAACAGGGGGAGCCTGTTCCTAGTGCACACATGCGCAGAGCTGCCAGAAAACAAGAACAGTTAAAACAAAAGGGATGACTAGGCAGTAAGGCTTGGAGATGATTGGCCCTCCCATAAGACATAAAGGAAGAGCAAAGGCACATGGGCCTTTGCAGGAAGCAACGTTGTGGATGGTGTCAGTTTGTACTTTGAAGCTCCATTTTTGACTCTGTGTTTCCGTGTGGCTTTGCCAAGATAATTACCAATTAGGTCTTTGGCAGCGTGTCAAAGAAGATAAAGGTGGGTATTTACCAGCCTTATCCGAAGGACTGTGGCAGACTTCTGTTGGATTATTTATAAACCCTTGGTGATTCAGCACGTGCTGTGAATGAAAGGAATTCACAGCCGTTAAAAAAAAAGGGGGGATTTTTGGGACTAATTGTGTGTTTTTTACCATATCGGGAAGCCTAGGTCAGAACATAAACAATATTTCCTAAACTTATTCCAATGTAATATACTGTTGCCCTCATAATTTCCACCCAGCAGACTTTAATTCTGGAATCATGGGACCTTTGGTCCAATAGAGTATATAAAAGTAGAGTTTAGAAAAGGCTGCATAAAACACCTGGCCAATTCATATTTCTAATTACAGAAATTGCCTTAATCTGATATCTTCTCCTTTGTTATACTTGCCTAGCACAACCAACCACTTCATTCTAGAGCAGGGGTCCCCAACCCCCCCATCTGTGGACCGGTACTGGTCTGCGATATGCCAGCAACTGGGCCACGCAAACAAGTGAAGCCTCATCCGTGGGATGCAGGCAGCATGCAAAACCACGCCCCCTCCAGTCCACGGAAAAACATTTCTCGACAGAACTGGTCACTGGTACCCAAAAGGTTGGGGGGTGCACTGTTCTAGAGTGCGCCCAAGCTTTGAAAAAATATGAAGCTAGAAGCTGCTGTGGAGGAGGATATGGCTAAGTTGCTATTCCACTAGCACTTCTCTGTTCTAGCTATCTGATTTAAACTAGATGAAATCATTATAGAATACCATATTTTTCAGAGTGTAAGATGCACTTTTTTCCCTCCTAAGAGGGTGGAAATATCGATGCATCTTATACATCGAATACAGCCATTTTTGGCCTCCCGAAGCCCCACCCCGCTCATCCCACTTGTGAAAAATGGGCCCATTTTTTGCAAAAACAGGGTGCGCAGAGGGTTTGGGAGGCCTACAGAGTGCTCCTGGGGGCTGGGGAGGGCAAAAACACCCATTTTTGCAAAAAATGGGGGCATTTTTGCCTTCCCCCAGCCCCCAGGAGCACTCTGTAGGCCTCCCAAATCTTCTGCGCGCCCCTTTTTTCTGCAAAAATTGGCCAAAAACTGGGCCCATTTTTTGCGAAAAACAGAGTGCGCAGAGATTTTGGGAGGCCTGCAGAGTGCTCCTGGGGGTTGGTGAAGGCAAAAACCTTTTTTTTCTTACTTACCTTTTCGAAATCTTGGTGCGTCTTATAGTCTGAAAAATATGGTATTTCCTGTTTTAGAACATGTGTTCAATACATAGTCCTGATTTTTTTTAAATGAATTCAAAATCAGCTTGGAAATGTAAGAAGACACAGTCAAGATTAAAAAAATAAAACAAATACCTTGTATTCACCAATGCCAGGATCTATAAGAAATGAGCGAGCTGATGTAGATGGCAAACTCGATCCACTGTTCGCTCCTTGTTTGACTTTATTCTTACAGTTGGTAACCGCACAGGGACCAGGCTTTCCATCTTTTTTATTCAAAATTGTAGAAGGAACATCAGACTCTGAGCGTATCAAAAGCTGAACTATATCATTCAGTCCAACATTGTAATCAAATAAGGTATGGCCATCTTCAAGCTATTTAAAAAATGCAAAAAAAAAATCCATCAGAAAAATATATATTAAAAGAAATCAATATAGTATAAAAACCTCAAAATGAAAAACAGAAAAAGCTTGCATGAAAATAAAATATATAATTAATAGCTGGTATTAATAATGTATCTTTAGTTTTTAGGGGATTTAGAACTCTCAATGAAAAGGTGGAAAAGCTTCATTGAACCAGAATATAGTCATTTATTTAGTATATTTCTATTTTACAACTAAATAAACATAAAACAAAATGCTCCTTCCCTTTATAGAGAAACTTTCCACACTATTCCAGAGAGTTATTCGATATCCAAAATAGTTTTTCAGGGTCTATGGAAGGAAATAGCAAAAATTGTCTACCACTCCAACAGAAGAAGCAGCGAAATACCGTACTCTTCAAGGGAAACCTGGAGCTAAATATCAGTTTAGTATTGGATTTTACTACTTCTTAGTTAAAGAAAGATACTAGAAAAGGATTTAGTCGTGTGATTTAACTTCTGGAAAACCATCAAAAAGTCATCCTGTATCAGGAAACTCTATTTATAGGCAGAGGTTTGTTCTCCGAGCTTGCTGCTCATCTGCCAGATGTTTCGTTACCAAACTAGATTAACACAGTGGTGAAATCCAAAAATTTTCGCTACCAGTTCTGTGGGTGTGGCTTGGTGGGTGTGGCTCTGGTCATGTGACTGGGTAGGCATGGCTTGGTGGTCATGTGACTGGGGGACATGGCTTGGTGGTCATGTGACTGGGTGGGCGTGGCCAATTTGACGTCACTCACGATTAGAGCCAAAAGATGTCACAGATTAAGTAAAATGTGGTGAAACTCATTTAACGCTCTTGCTTAGCAATCAAAATTTTGGGCTCAATTGGGGTCATAAGTCCAAGACTATCTTTGCCTTCCTCTGCATGGCAGCCTTGCCCTAGTAACCTCCTTCTCCTTTCTGGCAATTTTCCTCTCTGTTAGAGGCACCAAAATAATCCAGACGATGTAAGGTTTCCTGCTGCAGCAGGGGATTGGACTAGATGACCTCTGAGATCCCTTCCAGGCCCCCTGCTTAGGCAGGAAACCCTACACCACTTCAGACAAATTATTATCCAATCTCTTCTTAAAAACTTCCAGTGTTGGAGCATTTGCAGTACAACTTCTGGATGTGAGTTGTTCCACTGATTAATTGTTCTATCAGGAAATTTGAGGGGCTTCTACAAAAATAAGGGAGTTAATCTATTTTCCAAAGCTCCAAAAGGCACAAGAAAACAATGGATGGAAACTAACCAAAGAGAGAAGCAACCTAGGACTAAGGAGAAATTTCCTAAGGGTGAGACCATTCAACCAATGAATACCTTGCCTTCAGAAGTTGTGGGTGCTCCATCACTAGAGGTTTTCAAAAAGAGGATGGAAGTAACCCCAAAAGGATAGTGCCAGGAACCACTAAAACAATGCAGAAAATTTAAAACAGCCATTCCCCCTTTAAAAAAAAAGTTAACCCCAAAGCAAACACAACAGCTGAGAGGGAAACTAAGAGCAGCTACTCAGGCTAATTGAAAGCTTGGGTATTCTGCCAAAAGCCATTAACCCTTCCAACTCTATTATTCTATGTTCTCTGTGTTCTAAATTGGGTGTTTCACAACAGAAGCAATACAGCTGGCTGGACCACACATGCATTTAATTCACGGCCTGTATGATCAAGCTGCATCATTGTCCCCTCCTGTATCTTTTCCCCCAGGAAAAAACAAGAAGTAGCCAACATTGCAGCAGCTATAAAAGGTCTTGGGAACTCCAGGGAGTATCAGCTGATCACAGCAGTGTTACTTAATACTCTTTATAATGAAAATGTTTGTAATCTTGTCCTTCTTCCTGAAGGGAAGAGGTTAATCCCATCCCTAGATGGGTGATTGATGGGTTTCCCTACCCCAATCCTGTCAGTTTCTGTTGTTTATTGATTCAGCTTGTATCGGCTGCATTTCAGCTGCAACTGTTAAGTGGCGATATTAACTGAAGGGAGAGAGAGAAAAAACCTCTCTTGCACTTTATTTTTAACTAGTTCTCCGAACTGCCTAAGTAATTTACTAACAGTTTGGGTGAACCAGTGAGAACCAGATGAATTTCACCTGTGAATTAACATCTTCAACCCCGTTGAAGATGTTACCTAGTTTGGTAATGAAACGTTCAGAAGTCAAACAGCAAGCTTGGAGAACAAACCTCTGCCTAAATCTACAACCCAAGCTACGAATATTCTCTACAATTTTGAATTCTGTTCATGCTAATAATCCAATAAGTAAGAATAGGACAAGTGGTAGAACTCCAAATAAAATGTGATCTGTTAATTCACTACTTCCCTCCTATTAGAAGGAAAATACAGGAACAAAAAGAGATGGAGATACAGTAATCCCATATACAAAGATGCTGTTAAACTTTTTTAGTCAATCTCAGAATTACCTAGTGACACAAACTGGAGTCTTTAATTTTATATATCAATAAATACCTGATATATCTAACATGTGAAAGAAAAGGGATTTCAAGTTATCATTCCAACTCTACTGTTGAAGACACTGCCACATGTCCAGCAACGCCATGGCCGAACAATGTTGTCAAACTTTGCCCTTACCCTATTTTCAGATTCTGCAAAACCTATTAAAACATTTCCTACTCTTTCCTATCCAAAATTGAATATGAATATGAGATATAGTAACAGCAAAAGTTAATACTGAAGTCCTGTTTTGCAATGCTGGAGAAGGTGTTGGGAATTTAGTTCCCCACTTTCACTTCAGGAAAAACCAGGCAAACAATAGAAACTAGGCCACTGAATTCTGATGTCACGGGTTTTGCTTCAAAAGACATTCTACCATGCAGCCCTTTACAGGTAGTCCTTGATTTATGACTGGTTGCTTAGCGAAAATTCCAAATTACAATGGAAAAGTTATTTACAATCTGTTTCCAAAGTTACCATTGCTGCACCCTTTGCCCTGCAGTCATGTGGTTGCATTTTGGGTGCTTAGCAAGCAGCTCACCTATATGACCATTTGTAGTGTCCCACATTCACATGACCCTGATGCACTTTTTAACTAATTTCTATAGTTTACATTCAAAATATCTGTAGTTTACAGCAAAAAACACATGGGGAAATTGATTCACTTAATGGAACTCAAATGGCCATTTTTTGATATAGGTTAAAGCAAACTTTAACGAACGGTATTAGAGACACAAATTCAAATCCCATTCTCTACTTTAATCTTCTATGAGCATATGTCACTCATGTGTTGCGAGTTCAAGTCAATTTTTAAAAAATTACAGTATGATCTTAGTATAATTACAGGAAGCCAGGTTGGGGAAGGTATTTTTCCTCATCTTATTGATAAGGGGTTCAGACTGGGGTCCAGACTGTATTAATTTCCCTCATCTATTATCACACAAGAATGTAAATTCCATTCAGGCTTTCAAAATCTTATCAATACAACTAGGGGAAGAAAAAAGCAAAAAAGTAGCTTTGTTTTCTCAGTGTCCTCTTTATATTCAAGGTGAATTTCTGAAGCAGAAAACCTTCATGCCATAATTTCCAGGTAATAGCAATAGCATTTACACCAGGAGTGTCAAACGTGATTTCATTGAGTGCTGCATCAGGATTGTGTTTGACCTCAGGGGGTTGGGGTTGACGTGGTCAGGATGGGCATGGCCAGCTTGATGTGTCAGGGGCACCTGTGGTGGCCCAAATGCTCTGCCAGAAAAAATGGGCTCCCGAGCTCTGTTTCCGGTTGCGATGGCCTCCTGCAACCCTCTATCCGCAAAAATGAAGCTCGGGAGGGCTGCAGGTGGCCCACCCGAGGTCTGTTTTCACTGGCAGAGGCACTGCGGGCTGGTCCTTCGCTGTTTCCAGGGTGGCCCCACAGACCAGATCTAAGCCCCCAGTGGATCCGGCCCCCGGGCCTTGAGTTTCACACCCGCCTTAGATTTATACAGGCAGAAGAGATAGTCCTCAACTTACAACAGTTCGTTTAGTGACTATTCAAAGTTATGACACTGAAAAAAGTGACTCATGACTATTTTTCACACTTACGACCATTGCAGCATCCAATGGTCATGTGATCAAAATTCAGATGCTTGGCAACTGGTTCATACTTATGACCATTGCTGTGTCCCAAGGTCATGTGATCCCCATTTGCAACCTAACAAGCAAAGTCAATTGGGAAGCTAGATTCACTTAACAACCATGTCAATTATCAACTGCAGCAATTCACTTAACAACTGTACTAAGAAAGGTCGTAAAATGGGGCAAAATTCACTTAACAAATGTTTCAGTTAATAACAAAAATTTTGGACTCAATTGTGGTCATAGGATCACAAAGATCAAGGATCACCTGTATACTGCTTCACAGTGCTTTACAGCCCACTCTATGCAGTTTACCGAGTCAGCATATTGCCCCCAACAAACTGGGTTCTCATTTTACCAGCAAGACCCGAACTGCTGGCAGTCAGCAGAATTAGCCTGCAATACTGCATTCTAACCACTGCGTCATCATGGCCAATGGTGTCACAACTATTTTCAATAGTTACAAATAAAAATAAGTATTTGTTAATTGAAGAGGATAAATTTGGCCTTTATCTAAAAGTAAAATTAAAAAGTATGTGAATTCTTTTATCTTCATTGTAACAGTATGTAATACCAGTATTAAATAAGAAGAAATAAGAAAACAATTTTTATGCTTTTTATTTTTTTTCATAGTCCTAAAAAAGCAGCTTTTAAAACTTGAAATAAATAAATAAAAAAAAAACCCAGTCATTTCATGTTATCCTTGTTTCACCATCAAAATCTCATTAGTTTTTTCCTCCCAGAAATCAGTTAGTACATTCTTAGGACAAGAAACTTTATAACAATAATCAAGTAACTCAGCAAGTCTAGTTTACATATGCTTAGTGTTCCTCCCAAATGGCATAGTTTCAAACTACTCATGCAGACTTTGGTTTAAGGTTGCCATACTATATAACAAATGTGACACAATGTTTTCTTCTAGTTGGAACAAGACAGAATGGAAACAAATATGTCTGGATGATATGAAAACCTCAAAAAACAAAATTAAGACTAAAACCAGAGGTTGGCAACTTGGTACCTTTACAGACATAATTAACCATAAGCAAGGATGGCCATGCTTTGCAAACACACTTATTGTAAAAAAAATAATATATGCAGTACTGTAATCCCAATTACATTCCTAGCCACAATCACAGTATTGTAGTATAAGCTTTTGCTTTACGTGTACTTGCAGAGAAATTAAACTATCTGAGCCTTCTGCATATCTGAAGCATATTTCCAGATATAGCTTTATACAGAAAAGAATAATATATCCTATGAAGAACATGATATGTGAACCCTATGAAGATTTCTTTCACTATCCATCTGGCATGCTGACACTACAAAAGAATCTGTTGCAAATTTATTACAAGCTGAGAAATTAAATAACAGCAGTTTTTCTTCCTGTCATCAAGACGAAGGATGAGATAGCAGAGAATGTCAGAGAATAATCCAAAAAATTGATTCAGTAATAAAAATCATGCATGCCAAGAATCACAGAATAATAGGCATTTTTATTTAGTAACTATTCAAAGGAAGAACAGAGCGTTTTTTTTTATGGGAGAAAGATGGACAGCAAGAGATAATAACTTCAATTTAAAAACAATAGCCTCTTCTACACTAATGCAATACAGACAGTCCTCAACTTACAACAATTCATTTAGTGACCATTCAAAGATACAACAGCACTGAAAAAAGTGACTTACAACCATTTCTCAGTTACGACCTTTGAAGCATCCTCATGATCATGTGATAAAACTTGAGATGCTTGACAACTGGTTCATACTTGATTGTTGCTGTGTCCCAAGGTCATGTGATCCCCTTTTGCAACCTTCTGACAAGTGAAGTCAATGAGGAAGCTAGATTCACTTAACAACCAGGTTACTAACTTATCAACTGCAGTGATTCATTTAATAACTGTGGCAAGAAAGGTTGTAAAGTGGGACAAAACAAATGTCTGACTTAACAACAGAAATATTGGGCTCAATTATTGTCGTAAGTCAAGGACTACCTGTAGTGGAAAAAGAAAACATTTGCAAAGAGAAAATAGCTGGATTTAGGTTTGCAAATTACTATAGTATGATTTGTTTGCTTTATGCCTTATACAAACGTACTATTTTAATATAAGAAATAAGCAATATTTAAATGATTTAGCATTAAGTCTGCATTAATACCATCAGTGAGAATAGAACAATAAATGCTTTTTTTACTTTTCCCATTAGACCAACCCCACAAAATATATCTTTTCCTATGTCATAAACAGAGATGAGATAGTCAGCCAGCACTTGAACCCAAAAGATGAGGTTTGCCAACATTTCTATATATCTGTCAGTCAGTTGTGAGACAGAGCTGAAGCAATATTACTACACGTACAGCATCCATTACTGATTCTTCTTCTGTGTCCTTGTCTTGCATAACTGTCCTTGGCTTTTGATTCCTTACTTCCAGTATCAGTAAACATCACATTAAGGTCTACGATGCAGTAATTTGGTAACTTATATACAACCATGCTACTGTCGTCATTATAGCCACACTATTTTGACACAACACATACTGTACTTTAGACAGGCAGTATGGTGCAGTGATTAACATGCTGAACTAAGACCAGAGATTCAGGTTCAAGTTCACTTTTAAACTTTAAAACTCATTACCTGACATAAGGCCTATTATTTTCTCCTAGTCCAAATCTATCTTTCATGGTCATTAATTATTATGGGAATTTAAACAGATTCCCTATGAAAAATAGTCTTTAAAATCTACCAGATCATAGCAGTTAAAAACAGATTACGACCAAAGCACCCACATCTAATATCCTTTGAGTGTGTTGGACTATTAACTACGGCAGCATGGCCATTTAGAAAGCACCAAAAATATTTATGTGCTGTTTGCTTGTAAGCAGAAACAAAAACATTATATAAATTATATAAGTTATATAAATCAGTGAAAATATTGATATTATAATTTAATGAATTTTGCCGCCACGATCACTAAAGGAAATCTAGATAGTATAGATTTATTGTAAACTATATTTACAATGAACAAGTTATTCCATTAATAAATCTGACAGCTTTTAAGGTACCAAAATGTGCTTTAATTTAGTACACTTGCATGATATCTTTGTTCTGAAAGCTTAAAGTACTGTGCATGTTGTTTTCCATCATTTTAATCTAAAATAATGTAATATCCACCATTGTAAGTAATAGGGACATTTTTGTTATAATAAATTAACAAAACCATGATTTTGATTACACATTCAAAGTGTTACTATATTATTTAACTCTGGATTAAACGAATAGATTTTACCTATTTATCCTACTCCTATCCTATCCTAATAATAGACAGTTTCCTTATACTTTTAGTCTGTCATCACAATGAAATATCAGGGGAATACCTATGATACCATACCACTTAAAAACAAGTTGTAACAGAACACAATCCTAACATAGCAACATAAAATGAACTGACATTTGCCTGCCCTAAATTAATAACCCAAACTGTCACAGCATTTATTATATATATATATATTGGGAGACAACATCTTGAATTAATATATCCAAGTGTAAACAAAAAGTTCAAGCTCAGCATTCATAAAAGGTGTGGAGAACAGGAGATGATAGAACAGTTGCCATCAAGCCAATGCCAATTCTTAGTGACTGCAGATATATACTTCAGGATGGAACAGGAGATCAAAACTCCAGTCCTCAACTTAAAATCCCAACTGAGCCCAAAATTTCCACTGCTAAGCAAGACAGTTGTTAAGTGAATTCTGTCCTATTATACAGCATTCCTTGTCACAGTTCTTAAGTGATTCACTGCGCTTGTTAGTTAAATAGTTCTTAAGTGAATCTGACTTCCCCACTGACTTTGCTTGAGAGAGGATGGCAAAAAAAAAAAAACCATGACCCCAGGGCACTGTCAATAAAAATGAGTCAGTTACTAAGCAGCTGAATTTTGATCATGTGACCATGGGGATGCAGCAACAGTCATAAGTGTAAAAAAACGTTATTTTTCAATGCCACTTGTCACTTCCAACGGTCACTAAACAAATAGGTGTAAAGAAGCTGGAAGAAAAAGCTTTTTCTTTAACATCAGCAGAGCTGGCTAGCAGTTTTCCCAGCAGGACGATGGGGGAGAAAAAAGGAATGGGGAGGGGGGAAGCTGAGGGCAGAGAACCGAGAGAGGGAGGAGGACGACGACATGAACTTCCTCGGGGCAGCTGCGAAGCGGCAGCTGAGGGGAGCGCGCGCTCCAGTGCCAAGGAGACCGTTGAAGCACCGGAAGTAGCGCGAGGCGCACGAGAGGCGGCTCGCGCCACCGGCCTCTTCTCTTTCCCCGCCCGAGGGAAGCCGCGCGCCCCGCTTTTCTCGGGAGTCCCGCCTAGGAATCCCCCATTCCCCGGCCTTGCGGGAAACCGCTAGCGGATGAGGAGATGCCTCGCATTTAACGGGAAAAGGGAGGAGGAGGCGGGGAACGAAGCCGCCGCCGCCGCCGCGGTCCCTTTCCTCAGCACAATGGCATCTCCGGCTGCTTCTTTCCCCTCAGACGGCGGTAAAGAAAACCCCTCGACCGAGGAGGACCGGCAGTTCAAGCTGCAGGCAGCGCACTGCTGAGAGGCTGGGGGGGAGAGGGAGTGTCTGTCGAGGCTGCCTCACCTGTTTGCCCCGGTAGAAAAGGCGCTGCAGTTCAGGGCTTACGCGGAAGCTTTCCTGGATCTTTTCGCGCAGAGTTTCGATCTTGGTCAGCCGGCTGAGGTCGTCGATAGTTCGGGTCTGGGCACCATCGATGGTCCGCACCTGGATCCACATGGCGCGCTCCCGAAGGAGGAGGAGGGGGTGGGGGAAGCAGAAGGACCGGGAGGTTCCTCCTCCGGATTTTTCCACTTGGCGAAGCGGGGGTGGCGATGAGGAGTTGCTGCCTGAATCTCAAGGACCGCCGCGGCGCGAGCCGCTTCTGTTACCGGCCGGCCTTCCTTCCTTCCTTCCTCTTACCCGACCCGCCAGCAGTTTCGACTCCTCCTAAGCTCGTCCGCCGATCCCACCCGCCTCACTCGCGACCTACCGGCGGCAACGGCTCTCTCGAGCCACCCCAGAATGGCGGCAAACCCTGTCAAGACCTTAGTTGGGAGCTGCCGGCTCGGCTAAGCTTAACGGTCGCCGGCGGGAGCCATGTCCTAACCCCGAGGACTGTTTACCAAAGCGCCGCTGCTCTCACATGGAGGTCACGGCGCCAACGCTGATCTCGCGAGACGAGCCCAGACCACCACAAACCGTCGCCATCCACGCGCGCCCCCACCCCTCGCCACGACCTTAAAGAGACAATAACGGCGGGCGGGGAAGGGAGGCGCGGAGGCGGCGTTTCACGTGCTCAAATCCCTCTTCGCGCCTCTCCGAGCACGCCCGGCCTAGCGCCACGCCCCTTTGCGCGCGACCCCTCGAGGCGCCAGATCTGAGGTCCGTTGTCTGATGTTCGTGGCAGAATGGAGAGGTTGCGCAACTCCGCTGCCTGGCCTTAGACCTGCCTGCACCGGCCGTGGGTTGCCGCCGTTGCAACCCAATCGCGATGGCAATCTAGTAAACATCCTTACGTTTAAATAGGCATTACTCGGGGCGGTGGGGAGCGGCACTGAATTCAGTGAGACGCTCTTCATCCCTTCTTTATTATCTTTCTTGGAGTGGCGATGCGTTGAACGCACCGCGTGTACACACACACACACAGATGATCCCGTCGGTGTATCCAGCCGTTCGGGGACAACACAAACGCCACAATTAACATTTACTGTTCATGGCATAAAAACCTCGATCATCCGGATTTTGCAACTGAATGGCACCAGAACCTGCGTTATGTTACAGATGACGTTCGGGTCCACAGAGCCGCACTTCGCAGCGCAGGGTATATCTTGAGACGCGTCCTGTTAATTTTGTATTAGTTAACTTTATATATTGCATACTCGAATCTCTGGGTCGCTATTGTTTGCGATATTTAATGACTAGGTTCCACACGAATCTCTTGCAATTTGCATTTGAATCTTCTTATTGACAGCACTGCAAAAAATGGCCTCCACAGGCAGCCCCTTATAAAATGTGTTCTAGAAAATACCATTTTTGTACAAATTCCATTTTTAAAAAACATCTATCACTTCCTAGAATCGAATATAATAATATTTGGAATTCAGTGTAAGAAGAACAGATCTCCAGTGCCCAGATTACACTTTAAAAGCCATAGACAAACAGGTTTTCTTTTTTTATTATTCCTCTTTATTGATTTCTTCTCAAGATCCAGTGCTGAGATCCTGTCATTATTAAGAGATTCCAAAATCAGCATGACTCAAACTAAATACTGCTTTGAACACTGACCTCTCTTCCAGGACTCTCCACTTCTCAAACTGGCCAGAACTAAGATTTCTATATAAATTATCTTGATCAGCTACTGCCAGCTCACACCCAATCAAAGTACATGTGAAAGAAAGGGTGAGCTGGGTGCATCAATTCACATCATTGATTGTGTGCTTTTGACTGAACTGCATTTACCATTTTTTCACCTTGGACTGATTATTTTGGAGTTTTCTGAATCTTTTTTTTAAAAAATCACTGAATAATTTGCTGATGTCAGAAATCTTTGCCATCTCATTGCTCACAATTTTTGAATCAAGGTACCGGTACCTGAAATCTGCTAATTTAAAATATATGTAAAAAATCTGGAACCCATTACTTCGGTACTCCTGAAACTCCATGATGTTCAGACCAGTTTTATTTGTAAAGTTATGACCATTGCAGTGTCCCTGAAGTCATATGATCATAATTTCCAGTGTTCCTGCCAACTTCCCACAAGCAAAGTCAATGGGGAAGCCAGCAGAAAGTTGCTCCTGCTTCCATTGATTTTTGCTGACTGATAGTCATTCTGTTTCTCTGTTTAGGTAAGAAAATATTGACTTATTATTGAAATTCATTTTCCACTATAGTTGTTTTCCTATTTATGTATATGCTGTACTCTTAGATGATCATGGGACCATCCAACATTGATGGGGTTGGGGGGAATAGCCCAGCCTTAAATTTAATAGATATTCTGCACTTCCTTTCTCTCAAAGGATGCTCCAACAGGTTACAGGGTTGTGTTTGCATTCATAAAGCCAAAAAGAACTGATCCTAATACATATCCTTGGGAAAGCCTACTTAGCATATTTTTTTATTTGTTCCTGCAGGCAGCCCTCTGTTTCCAATGCATTAATCAGTTGCAAATCCATGTGAATAACTGCTCTTTTTTTCTATTGATGTGAATTTTCCTAGGATCCTCTGGTAAGATCATTGGTCAAAAGTTATACAATATCTATCAGATCAGTCTATGGACATGCCCTTCTATTTTTGTAGAAGCTACTTTGGTTTTTTATTTAAGTTACTTTCTGCTATTTATTCAGGACAGACTTTCCTGGCCTTTATTTCCCTTTATTTTCCCTCCAATCTTTTACTTAAATGGTACTTAGATTGGTCATTTTCCAGTGTCCAGGGACTAATCATTGAGATCAGAGAGAAAAGGCATTATATATTACAATACATCACATTGGAAGTCTTTCAATATCGTATTTATTGTTAATTAATAAAAACTTACAATGTTGTATTTGATTATCTATAGTTGTTTGATTTCTTTCAAACCTCCCTTGAAAAAACCTGTTCAGTTATGGGGATCTGCCTTACCTCCTCTACAATTAATTTATGCAGCTTGTCATCTTAAAATAGTAGGAACCTAAACCAAAATCAGACTCACCGCTGTCCTTGACTGTCTTACACAGATTGCTAACAGATGTATGCAGGATACTTTTTCTCTTTCAGGAGTATCAAGGATTAGAAATAGAACTACTGGTAAGTGCTTTGAATTAAATCTGTCATTATTTTTCTTTGAACATTTCAGACAAATCCTAAATTAAGTTGAAGGTGATAGCAATCTTCCATTATTTTCAGCTGAGTATTACTATTTTTCATCTATGTCAAGATTTGGTAGAAAATCTCATTTAAAAGCAGTAGAGCATTTCCAAAGCCTCCAACTTGATAAACAACAAATCCTTCGAAAGCAGTGAAGCATTTCTCTTGAATCTTCACTTTTAACAAAATCTATAGTTCATCTTTTATTTCTACAGAAACTTCTTTTTACTGCAATCATTCAGCTCATTTTAATACATCAGATAATACAGTACATAATTTTAGGAAATAAAGAACTTTTTTCTTTTAACTCTTTCAGGATTTATATTGGATGTGTTCAGCTGTTATATTATTTAGTTCTAGTTTAATAAGATGTCAGCAAGCAGAAATATTCAGTAGTGAGCCTCAAGCTCTGTCACTGTTTAATTTGTTCTCTCCTGTATCTGATGGTTGTATTCTGGCTTGCTTTTTTCATAATTGCTTTTATATACTTGCTGTTTTATTTGTTAGATGTTGCTTAGAGTTGCTTTGTGAGAGATAGGCAGCTATATAAACTAATTTATCCTCTTTCTCTATTCCTACTACCTACCCAAAAAAGAGAATTCATACTTAGCTTCATAATTAATTTGAATCAAGTCATCTTTAAATCCTAGAACCAGGTATCTCTACTGAATATATTTGCAGAAGAGGTAGTCCAAGTTCACAACTGGCTTAACTAACTGACAAAAGCTCAAAAATTGCCTTTTAAGTTCACCTGATCTCAGTAAATATATTATTGGCTGCCCATAGTTGCTTTGAAGTTGGGCACCAAAATAATGATAATGTTTTAAGAATGATTATTCTTCATTCTTCAATTGCTCACACTCACTCATGCTACTTAGTCTCTTCAATTTGGGTTACTTCAGTATGCTTTACATGGGGCTGCCCTTGAAGGCTATCCAGAAGCTATAGGTGATCCAGAATGCAGGGTCATGTGCAATTTTGCGTACCCCACAATTGATCTGAGTTACACCACTGTTATGTGACTTGCACTGGTTTCCTGGGTCACCTTTAAAGCCCTACATGACACAAAGTGAAGTTGCTTGTGGGATAGCTTTTCTCTAAGGGTATCAGGCCATCCCACTAGTTTAGATAAGGTAAGTCCACTCCCACTCCACTTCCTTAAATTTTGCCATGTGATGGGACCTCAGAGGTGTGTTTTCTTGGGAACTGCCCCAGCATTTTGGAATAGCCTACCATATGAGATTTGAGGGATCCCTAACCTCTTACCCTTCCTGAAGATTGTGACGACCTGGCTCTTTTTCTAAGCACTGGCTACGGTAGTTTTGGGTTGAGTCAGGAAACTGTTTGGTCCAGTGCCTGGTGGGAACATTGAGGTTTTTTTATTCTTGTCTTTATGATGTGTCTTTAATGTTGTGAGCCATATATGGTTATTGTATGAGATAAGTGGTCACATAAGTTCTGCAGTTTAATAAATAAATCAAATAATATCAAGATAATTGCCATGTATTTTTAAAATAAATATTTTATGAAAAAATGCTTTAGAATCAGAACTAAATCAGCTTGGAAACCTCATCTCTTCAAATTTACTTTGCAAGCATTCAAGAATTAACAATAACCAAATAAATAAGCATGGTATTCCATGCCACTAAATTTACATTTATCAGTCATAACTATTCAGAATTGTATTATTGGGGTATTACTCAAATTTTTATATAAAATTTTTGATGATGCCAACCTAAGTATTTTTCAAACATGTTTAGGTATATTGGGAAACATTTTTTTTGATAATTTAACTTACTATTAGATTGCTATCCACATATCCCTTAATTTATGAACAGACATAAAATTCTCTGTTTTTGCTGTAATTACGATTTACTATCACAAAATATTGGAAAGCAAAAATACACCTCTTATAGAATAATTGTTCAGAAGTGTGGAAATTACTTTGAGCGAAAGAAATAAGCACAGGAGAACCTTGAAAATCTTGCAATTAAAGATAGTTTTATTCAAATCTATCTTCCATTTTTATCTATGTTAATCATTCTACTTACAGACATCTTTGTGAGAAGTACTGAATATGGATGTTAAAAATGTTACATTTTTCCATTTTTGTTTGTCGACATCCTTAATAGTTTAAATTGACTTTTTAAATGATACATTTTATCTAATACCTACTCATTGTGCCTGTATCTGTCATCGTAATCAATATTACACATTTTTTGCATGTTGGATGTTGCTATGGCTTCTCACAGAGGTCCTTATCTTGGAAATTATATGATTATGCTGTGCAAAATCACTTTCAGCTTTATTAGAGTTAAGAGGATGAGTGAACTGTTTACACCCAAGAGGATTATTGCTTTAATTATAATCATAACCTAATAAAGCAGTCTACCATACAACCTTTCCAAACTTGTATTTATCTAGAATATATCTAAACTAGCTGAATACCCATGCTCCGCTACGAAGCTATGTGATCAGGCTTGATAAATCGACACTTACAGCTTGAAAATTAATGAGTAGTTACAATCAGCCTCTCCTCTTCCCTTCTCTCCCTCAGCCTTGCCCCACAGAAACATCATTTTCCCCCTTCGCTAAACTGGGTGTGGGCGTGGCCAGCGCGTGACACGTCCAGCCCATGGGCTACGATTTTGACAGCCCTGCCCTACATGTTTGTGTGTGTATGTCTATACATCTCTAGTAATAAAATAACTGTATCCACTCCTGTGTGTCTGTGTGTAGATATTTACAACTCAATTTAAAAAATAATACAGATAATCCTTGGGTTAAGACAGCAATTGGGGCTGGGATTGCTGTCACTAAGATATATGGTCATAAATGCAACATTATACGACTCCATCACTTAGTGACAGCAATGCAGGCACTCATGGTTACCATGGTGATCCCAAGATGTGCAAGTCATTAAGTGGGAAGTGGCAGGAATCCCAGCCAAAAACACAGGGAGATGGGGGAAGCCCAGGGAGAACTAATGTAGGCCACACGAATTGGGGACAGGGGTGTTGTGGTGTGGCAGCCAAGGAAGGAAGGGGCAAGTGTATGTGAGCACAGGGAGGCCAAGGGAAGGAGGATGCAGCACTGTGAGAAGATCAAGGGAAGGAGGGTGAGGGAAAGCACAGGGAAGCCAAGGAAAGGAAGGCATGGCTTGATGTGGAGGCTGGCAGAAAAGACCTACCAGAGAACTTCCCTGCTGTCTTCCCCATTGATTTTGCTTGTGGGAAGCTGGCAGGGAAGGTCTCAAATGGTGATCAGGTGATTGGGTGATGCTTTATCTCACAGAAGTGGAAGCTGGTTGCAAAGTGCCTGAATAACAATCACATGACTGTGGGGGTCCTGGGACAACTGGAACTTCAAGGATCAATCGTAAGTACAACTTGTTCAGCATCATTTCAGCTCTGAATAGTCACTGAATTAGTGGTCAGTTAGCAAGGACTACCTGTAACAGTGTCCATTCCTTCTTGGTAAATTCCTGGGCTATAGGTTTATTTATTTATTTATTTGATTTGATTTTTATACCGCCCTTCTCCAACAGGACTCAGGGCGGTGAACAGCCGAGATAAAACATAACATATAAAATTTAAAAAACAGTTTAAAAGACATTAAATAATTTCGGCCCTCAATTTAAAACAACCCAGTTAAAACCAATTTCAAATTAAAACCAAAAGGATGGGATCAAGCCAGCCCGGCTAGATGAAATAGATGAGTTTTCAGGGCCCGACGAAAAGTCCAGAGGTCTGGTATCATGTGTATCTCTGGGGGTAGGTCGTTCCAGAGGGCAGGTGCCGCCACAGAGAAGGCTCTCCCCCTGGGGGTCGCCAGCCGACATTGTCTGGCCGACGGCACCCTGAGGAGGCCCTCTGTGTGAGCGAATTGGCCAGTGGGAGGCTATTGGCAGCAGAAGGCGGTCTCCTAGATACCCTGTTCAGAATGATTTGCAGATAATTTGCCTTCTGTGTTTCTCAACATTTTAAATGTTATTCTAGAACACCAGAACATTATTTACTTCCAATTTAAGACATTTATACTTCACTTTTCACAACAATGACCCCATAGTAGGTTACAATGTAAATTAAAATAGTAAAGTATTTATTTGTTAGGTTTACAACCTACTATTCTAATAAATTTCGTGTTCAGGACAGTGAATAAGAAATATACCGGTAGTACTGTACACACAAAATATGAATTCATATTAAACACACACATACATTTTAAATAAAAAGCCTTCCACTGTAGCAACTAGTCAGTCTTTCATTCCAAATGCATTCAACTTCATTCTTAAATTATGAATGCAGAAACATGAGCCATGTAGTATTTACATGGCACCGAGAGCTCCCTGGAGTAGAGAGCAAATGAACGGTTCCTGTTGATATAACGGCGGCAGTCACAGACCCGAAACAACCCTGATGAGAAGCTCATCAGGGGCACTCAAAGCCCCATTTTTCTTTCTCTTTCAAAAGAATTAATCTCCGCGTTTACCATTCAAGAAAAAGCTACTTAATGCTTCAAATCGATAGAGTCCTATAACCAGGGTCTTCCATTCCGTGGCTGTTTTCAAAGCCGCGCCTGAATCACAAAAGGTGGACCATCCAGGCTGCAGTTGGTGGCGTAAAAGCTTTACGAAATGCAGGCAGAAGAACAGCGCAACTCCGAACTTTTCTAACGTTTCCAATGGGTTTTAACACGAGCAATATGACTTTACTTGAAATCACAGCTGCGGCAGCTCTTCACTTGGGACCCTACGGTCAGGTTTCCATCCTTCTCGGTTGCCAGCAACCAACGTCTCTTACCTAGCGGCCGGCCTCCCCCACTTTTCTCTCTGTCTCTCTCTCTCTCTCTCTCTCTCGTCACTCCCTGATGATGTCACTCTCCAGCAGGTGTCCAATACAAAACGCGCAGTCAACGCAACTGGAGAGTCTGCCGCTAGTACGCTTGCGCAGACGGTGGAGGTTGGGTTCTCCCACTACTTCTCTCTGTCTCTTGGCTGGGGGGAGGGGACTGCTCAGGTCTGGCAGCGCCCCCCATTAACTGACAGCACGCCGGCTTCGTCCGCGCGTCCCTCAGCCGAGGCAGCGGGGCTGGAGAGAAGCGTCGTTCGGGCCCGGGTGCAGAACGGGGAAGGCCTCCCTACCGGTCGGGACGCCTTTCGGTCCGGAGGGGGGAGCGAGGCAATGAGCCCGGGGGCCCCCCCGGCAGCCGCTCCTTCCACTCAGGCAGGTATTCCGTGTCGGCTGTGCCTCACGCCCCTTTCGGTCCTGCAGCGCAAGGGCTGAGGGGTCCCGGGCAGCCCTTTTCTGAGGGAAACTCTCGGCGGGTTTTCAGAAGCCGTTTCCATCGACCCGGGCGAGTTTAGAGGGGCTCTCACCTGCCGCCACAGGTTACGGCTCTTCTCCACGACGAGAGGCCTCTGCCGCCGCATCTCGGGGGCAAGGCGAAGCGCGCAAAGCGGCGGCGGGGCCGCCTAAGCTGCACCTTCGGTTTTTTTTGACCGAGGCCGGCCTAACCAGAAGAGGCAGGCGGGAGCTGTCTAGGCCGGCCGAAGCGGCGCCGACTTCTTCTTAAGTTCTTGGATGCCGGGACCGCTTTCCACGGGCGCCGACATACGCAGCTGCGGCGGGGCATGAATCCGGCGCAGCCCGAAGGGGAGGAGGAGGGCGACGGCAGCGAAGAAGAAGAAGAAGACGACGGCGGCGGCGGCGACATGGAGATGCCGCCGCCGGAGGAGGAGGAGGAGGAGGAGGTGGCGGTGGTGGCTGCCACGACGGCCGGAGCTGGGGAGCGCGGAACGGAGGCATTAACGGACCCGGCGCTCACCGGCTGCGTCCCGACGGGAGACAAGCTGGAGGGAGGGAGCGCTGGCGGCTACCCCGATTGGGAGCAAAGCCTGAGCCCGGAATTGCAACAGGGTTATCGGATCCTGAGCGAGTTTCTCTTAGAAAAGCACCGGCCTCTGACGGCTCCTTTCTTAAGATCTTGGGAAAACCAAAAAAGTGAACGAGGCCAAACGGGCGCTGCCGACTTTTCCGGGGAAGAAAATAGTGTCTGTCTTCTCCCTTGCCCTAAATCTCAGCAATTATCTGGAATGTGGCTGTTGAAAATGGAAGAAAAATTTGCTTCTGGCCAGTACAGAGGAATTACTGATTTTGTGGCCGATTTCCGATTGATGTTGGAGACCTGCTATCGGCTTCATGGGGTAGATCACTGGCTCTCCAAACAAGCCCAGAAGTTAGAGATGATGCTTGAACAGAAACTGGCTCTGCTTTCTCGGTAGGTGTAATAGATCTGCTGTATCGGAATACTTAGGAAGAAAGTTTACACAGAATGGAAGGAGTTTTATTTTTGTGAAATATAGACTGTGAGGGTGTGAGTCCTGTACAAGCTAACTGTAGATTTTTTTTTAACTGGATACATACCATCTGTTTTTTTTCTTGAGGTTACAGTTCTGTTAAGTACCCGTAAGTAATAAGCTCCGCTGAACTAATAAAATCTTGGTCATAAATATAGAGTTTGTTGTACTGCACAACTGATGATCAGTTATGACAAAGTTTAGAAGTGGGGTAAAGTTATGAAGTTATGGCCTGGTTTTATATAATACTGAATCATAAAGTGACTTGTTTTGAATTTAGTGTGAAATGCAAACTATGCCACCAGAATTTGGCCTTATGCTTATGAATCCATTGTTCTGAATTTCTGCAAGATTTTTTTGCTGAGAGTGGCTAAACTTCCATAAAAAGTATGATTATCATTTATAGTGAGCATCACCACAAAATGCCTGTGTATTTTCTTTTTGTGCATTCTATCTTTTTAATGTAGTTAGAGAAATAGATTATCATATAAGATGCTTTGGTCAGAAAATTTACTATATAATACCACATCTTTTATAACATCATAAGATATATCAAGAAAAAGCTTCCCATGGATTAGAAAAGGAATCTCCGTTATACAATTGACCCATTTAGTCTTATTTTGCCTATGTTGTTACATAGAGTTTTAACTGCCAGAGTCTGATTATAATCCAAGACTTTCTTATATGAAGCAGACACTATATATTGCTAATGAGCTATACAGTATTTCATTTCATTTGGAAACCTTGGTAAAGACTCTTGGTGGAGATCAACAGAAATGAAGTGTAAGGAAAATCTAGAATTCTCTTTGTATTTGTTCATCAGCATCTTTGATTATTTTTTCACCAGCTTGCATATTATTTTATCATATTTGAATTTTGCGCTGTATAAATACTCTTAAAACTAAATGCTTTTTCTGAACTACAGTTTTTGTGTGCAGTTAACCTATTTAAATAAAGAAGACTTGACAGCATCAGAAGAAATCTATATTTCTAATTGTTCTGATTGATTAGCATTAAGTCACAGAAATAGACCTAAGTTTGAAAAATTGATTTATCAGATCAACCCGTTTCTTCTCAATGGACAAACATGGGCTGGATGGTATATTTTTACTCTGCCTTAACTCTGAATCTGAAATAGTTCAGGTTCTGAGTTACTGACTGATGCTGGTAATGTCCTGAATGAAGCAAGACAGTTTGAAAATGAAAGAGGGCAGGGGTGCTATTCAGCAGGTTCTGACAGATTTTGGAGAACCAGTAACGGAAATTTTGAGTAGTTTGGAGAACCGGCAAATACCACCTCTGACTGGCCCCAGAATGTGGTGGGAATAGAGATTTTGCAATATCCTTCCCCCAGGAGTGGGGAAGGAATGGGGATTTTGCAGTATACCTTCCCCCGGAGTGGCGTGGGAATGGGAATGGACATTTTGTAGTCCCTGCCCCTGCCATGCCCACCAAGCCACACCACGCCCACCAAGCCATGCCCACAGAACTGGTAGTAAAAAAAATTGAATTCCATCACTGAAAGATGGGTATTCTTGATCAGTAAAAACTAATATTGAAGAACGTGAACATAACTTCTATGGATGCCTACTTTTCATCTATTGCAAATAACTTTGCTTTGAAAAGATGGCGTTTAATTACTGTATGAGCTGGTTGGATGCAGATACCAAAATATATAACGCCAGTGTTTAGCATGCTACACTAGCTCATTAATACCCTTTTTTCCCAGCAGTGCTGGAAATTCCAATCACTGCTAATATATAATTAATTTGGTCATAACTTTCTAGTGAATATAATGCTTTCTTTTGCTTTTATAATGCAACACTTTGCATTATTCCCCTGACCAGAAACCAAAGATACTGGATTTTGTGCTACAATATGAAAACAAATGTCTTTAGTGAATATATCTGACAAATGATACTGTTTAAAATATGTCCTAAAATGCTAAAAGATGAGCTTCAGTAATTTGGGTAGATTAAAGTTCACAAACACAAGATATATCTATATATGTATTCCCTAACTTTGTTTATAAGCAGATGTTTACATTTTAAATCTGGCAAATGTGACAATAGCTATTCTTACAACTTTGAAGTTGCAAGGATGAATGGACTTTATCTCCATAGCTGAACGCTCTGATACATCTCTGTAATTGCTGATGAAGCAATTAATAAGAGGATTCAGTTTAATATCATATATTAGTAAATGAGAAAAGGAGGATGAAACTGAGATTTGTCTCTTTGTTTTAGTATTAATGTTTAAATTAATAAAACAATGAAGAATTAACTATGTAAATTTTATCTGTGAAGATAGGATTTGAATCTAATCTTACATACTTTAAATGAAGGACGTCCTGCAATTCAAGAAAGTTTTGACCAATGGAGAATTTCCATTGATGGAATGAGAACTTAAGCAATTTTTGTTTCCTTGCCTTATCCCATTTATTTCAGAAAGCGGGAGACCATGCTGGATTTGGTTTGTTTACCAATATTTAAAGTAAGAGACTGAACTTTCCAGTGAACTTTAATCTGTAACATGCATATACTATTTCCAACATCAGAAACACTACCAGAAGATGGATGTTTCCTATTACCAACTGTTAAGGAATATGAGCAGGAGGCTGTTATATTTATGTTTTGTTGATAAACTTCCTATTAGCCATCTGATTGGTGGGAATAGAAGAATGGACTAGATAAGCTTTTAATTTTACACAGTGAGACTATTTCTAAATTGTTCTTATGTCACTGGTATGTTTCAGCAAGTAAAATTGTTCATAGCTAATTCTTGGATTACAGAAACTTTGTAGAAAACATATTGAGTGGTTTTCATATGATAGTTAGCAATTCTCACTTTACACTAATTTTGATAGCCAAGCCAATTTTTAGGACTCTACTCTGTCATATATCTCCCTTTTCAAAACAAAAAACTTTTTTTCCTATTAAGTCCTTACAGTCTGTTGAAAAAGTAGCTTTCTCTCAGAATTCCAAAAACCAAGGTAATCAAATTTCTTATTACAATTTTCTCTAGGAATGCAGCAAATAGAAGATTCAAGACAGCTACAAGAAAGGAAGTGCGTTATTAAACAATGGAATTTGCTGCAGTTAATTTAAAATGTTTTAAAAGAAAAAAGAGACAAAGCTATTGATGGCTACTAGACATGAATGACTATTGTGAAAAGATTCCTATATTTTTATAAAGCTTAATAGAGACCCCAAGAATATCTTTTTACACCAGTTTGATATAGTGGTTCATCAGGCTTGAAACTGGGAGACTCTGAGTTCTAGTCTCTCCTTATACACAAAGCCAGCTAAGTGACCTGGGGTAGTCACTTTCTCTCAGTTCTAGAACAGGGTTATGGTAAACTACTTCTGAAAAATCTTGCCAAGATAATTATAGGGACTTGTCCCGGCAGTCTCCAAGAATTGGACACAATTGAACAGAAGTGGCAGCTGGGGAGGGAGGATTTAAGCAGATACTGTGTAGAAAAGCCTGAGCAGACCAGGAATAATATTTTTTTAAACATTTACCCTTTTTAGATAAAACCTTATCCAGTTAGAACAGGTTGTTGGTTTCAAATTATTAAGAACCTAGTTACAACCATCAGATAGAGCCTTGGTAGTACAGTGGTCTAAAGCACCCTGTTATTAAGACCAGCTGCCTGCAATTACTGCAGGTTCGAATCTCGCCAAGGCTCAAGGTTGACTCAGCCTTCCATCCTTTCTAAGGTAGGTAAATTGAGGACCCAGTTGTGGGGGCAATAAGCTGACTTTGTATAAATATACAAAAGAATGAAGGCTGTTGCTTAGCGCATTGTAAGCCGCCCTGAGTCTCCGGAGAAGGGCGGCATATAAATCAAATTAAAAAAAAAAAAAGATAACATTATAATTTATTATCTCACTCTGTGGCATCAGAAATTAAATATATAACTTGATATGACAAAATAATCAGTTTTACTATAAAGCTATGAGAATATTATTCTGAAGAAGCAGGTTAGTTAGCAACATTTAAGGCAATAAAACACTTATTAAATTTTTCCCTGTCCAGTTGTGTCTGATTCTAGGGGACTGTGCTCATTTCCATTTCTTAGCCAAGAGAGCCAGTGTTGTCTGAAGACATTTTCATGGTCATGTGGCAGCATGACTATATGCCTAGGCACATGGAATGTTGTTACCTTTCCATAGAAGTGGTACCTATTTATCTACTTGCATTTGCATGCTTTTGAACTGCTAGATGGGCAGGAGCTGGAGCAAGTAATAGGGGCTCACCCCATCAAGCAGAGCTCAGTCTCAAACCTGGGCTGTTAGCTTTCCAGATGACAAGCTCAACATCTTTAACTACTGAGCCATCAACTGTAATCAGTTATGGAATGTATTTTTGACTTGCTGGTTATTTGGACATCATTTCTTCCCAAAAGTAAAATTTACTAACAATAGTAATCTAATAGAAGCCTGTGCATCAGTTTTCTCAGCCTTGGCAGATTGAAGACGTGTGGACATCAATTCCTATAATTCCCCAGTCAGCCAGTCTCTCACATCCTTTTCATTTCTTGATTGGACTATACTAACCCACTTTATATTGATTGAAGACCACATGGAAATTTCAGATGATGCACAATGGAGCTGCCTAATAAATGACCAGACTCCATTACACCATTATTATGTGAGATGCAGTGGCTATCGGTTTGTTTCTGTGTGCAGTTCAAAATGTGTTTTTATCTATAAAGATCTCTATGTTTGATGTCTGGGTATCTTCGAAATTACCTTTTTCCAGATAGAATCTTCCTACTTAATGCAGATGGAGAGTATGTTGTATACTCTCAGTGTGTGAAGGATCTTTTCTTATTTTTCTTTTTCAAAATTATAGTATTATCTTTTTAATTTAGGGAGATGTCTAAAAGATCCATTGCTTTTTCAGCCATGAAGAA